GTTCACTTCCAAGCCCAGTCTGGAAAAGTCCTGCGATATGCCAGCTAGGGCCGGTTTATTCCGATCCCCCTATAACCCAGTATCCTGTGTGTGTGTGTCTCTTTCTCATTCCTTCATTGTGCAAACTTGTAAGTGCATAGTATATGCCAGACACATGGAGTACAGTTTTAAAAAAATGGGGCAGGGGATGAAAATCACTACTCTCATGGAAGTTCTGATAGATACAAGGCAGTAGTCAGTAATTAAAACAAGATCAATAAATTTTATGTAGGCTGGATAGCCCTTATGCAAAATGGTTAGTATCAAAAGTGTTTCTGGTTGCAGAATTCCTTTGGATTTGGGAATATTTGCATGGACTTTGCCAGTTGAATGTCCCTAAACCCCAAGTCTGAAAGCCATGACTCAAAAGCTGGCAGAATTTAGAGCACTTGAGATACAGAATTTTCAATCTAGATTCATTGAGTATTCATTTCAACCCAAATTCACTGTGAAAGTGATGGCTGCTTTAGAAAAATTCAGAATGGGCTCAGAGGGCCTAGAAACAGCCAGGAAGAGGAACAGGTTTTAAAAAGAATTGTCAAAGTGGGCCTCAAGTGAGAGGGGCTGTGGGAACAAAGATGTGCAGAGAGACAGAGATCTCTCTAAGCATATGCGGGGAAGGGCACCTGGCCTGACAGGTTCAAGGCACAGGAAGGAACATGGAGCGAGACATTTTGAGAGGTCATGGAGGGTATGTGGGCTGTGGCAGGGCCTTTGTTTATTGATGAGTAGGGCAGTAGGTAGGGCAGGGATCTGGGGAGGACTGTGGGGATGGAAGTTGTTTAAGGACCACTGTGGTGAGAGTACTGCAGGAAAGTAAAGGTGGAAGCCGCAGCTGTTGGAGGGGCTACAGCTTCAAAGCACCTTGCCCCAGGGTTGCACCATTCATGTGTGTTGGAGCTGAAACTGGCATCCAGATCTAGCACCAGAGCCCAGGCACTTGGCCATGTGCCATCCTTGATAGGTTCCTCTCCCTGGTGGGTGGGCCCTAGGAGGATATTCTTCCCAGCTCAGGTTCTGAAGAAGAATGGGGTGGGCATGAATGTAACCCACTGTCCTTTCCTTCTGCCCCTAGATCATGTCCCTGGGGCTCCAAATCAGGGTGGTCCTATCTCCCCTAGGGGCCTACGCCAGGTCTGAATGTATGTGTGGGAGGTTGGGAGGCCCCAAAAGCCGAGCTCAACTCTGGGCACCAGGGGAGCTTGGGCATGCCGGGGCCATGGCTGTGGTGGTGGGTTGCTAAGCGACTCTAAGAGGGAGCCCTGGTTACTGCTGCCTGGCAGAGACATCTCCCTCTTCTATATCCCTCACCTCCTCCATGGCCTCTGGCCTCCCAGGAGGCCTTATGGGTAAGTCAGAGTTGTCATCAGCGTTTGCCACTGGATCTTGACTGGAAGCTCTGATTGGCACCAGGTGACTAGGCCCTGGGCTGCAGGGTATGGGCTTCTCTCAGGGGTATCTCAGGCACTCCTGGTACAAAGCCCAGCTTAGCAGTTGGAGGCCTAACCGGCCCCCCCGCCCACTCCAGCTTCAGGCCTCCTCCCTGGTTAACCCTGAGCAAGGCCTGGCACCCCACTGGACTCAGCTGCCCCATTCGTCTCGCCTTCAGAACCCCCACCAAAAGGCCCTCATTCTTGGAGAGTAAGGGTGGTAAGTGCGCAGGGCTTGTCCATGCTGAGGGCTGTGTGTATCATGATTCAGTTTTTTTAAAATATTTTTTTAAATTTTTATTGTATGTGTATGAGTGTTATGCCTGCATCTAAGTAAGTGCACCCGTGTTGTGCAATGCCTGCGGAGGACAAGAAGAGGCTGTTGGATCCCCTGGAACTGAAGCTATGGACAATTGTTAGCTGCCATGTGGGTGCTGGGATTCAAACCCAGGTCTTCTGCAAGAATAGTCAGTGTTCTTAATCGCTAAGCCATCTCTCCAGCCCCATGATTCAGTTTTATATCAGATTCCATTTCTGAAAAAGCTCTGCTTTAAGAAAAAAGGTGAAGACCATTAGTTTGGATACTTTCAAACAATGTTCAGCAATCAAACTGCAAAGTTCATAGAGTACAAGTGGCCTGTGCCAAGGAGACAGACCTGGAGAGGACAAACTTGGTCTAGGACAGGCTTGGTGAGGTGAGTGGAAGGAATACCAGGTTGGAGGGAGGAGTGTCAAGGAGGCCTGGGGGAACATCCTTCCTCTGACATCAGGTCCTGAGTGGGGCCATCTTGGGCAAGTCCTTTCTTGTCCCTGGGCTGTAAGAGCCATGATATGATGCTGGGGCTTGAACTTTTGGACACCTGGCTGGGCGAGGGAGGACCAGGGGAAGAAAGATGCAAATTTCAGGGCCTAGAACATGCAATCTTTATAATGTTTTTAAAGAAAATGGAATGTGCTGTGAAGTCCATGCAAAATTCTAAAAAGGAAGCACGAGACTTGGAGTTTTGACCTTGCAGTGGTCCCCAGCTTTCCTACCCCGGTGGATCCTGGGATGGTTTGCATGAAAATTTCAGGAGCACTGGAGTTCTAGCTTCCTAAGAGTCTCTGCAAATTCTCTGACTTTCTTCCCTGACCTATGGCAGGATGGAATGTCCTTTACATAGTAAGACCAACCCAAAATCATTTGACTCTGTACCAAACCAACGGTTGCCCTTGGCAATTCACAGTCTCTGAGCCACACTCTCCTCATTTTGAAGTAGGTATCCCAACCCCTGATCCTATAGGGTTTAGCATAATGATTACGATTATGTATGTAGGGTATGCAAGACTGAATGGGATTGGTACTAAGTGCGGGTACCTGGTGGTGTCCTTCCTTTCCCTGTGCACTCTGAGCCAGGCTGGCACATGATGACAGCAGTGTTGCTTGATGGACTTCCATTCCAACAGGAGGAGTGGGAAGGTGGGAGGTGGAGCCTCTGGCAAGCCTGATACTCCTAGGGGAAGAGAACTGAGGCCTCTGAGGAACTGAACACAGGTGTGGGGGAGGGGCATGGAGCCAGGTGCAGGGGCGGGCCTGAAAGGGGGTATCTCCCTGGGGGAACACCACTCCCTGGGGGTCTGGCTCCCCTCCTCACTAGGCCCCAGGAGAAGCCAGGCAGGGCAAGCCTGGCAAACCCCAGCTGTTGCCTCCCAAGCCCATAAAGTACTAGAGACAGCCAGCCTGGAGCCTAAAGACTCAGGTCAGGATCTGGAGCTGGGACAAGGGTTGGAGGTGCACTGGGCAGCAGGGAGGACCTTTGGAGACTGGTGGGGATGAGGCAGGAGGAGGAACTCCTGCAGAGCAGTGGTTAGGGTGTGCCTGGGTAGGTTAGCAAGTTAAGAGCAGGTCCAGGGCCTGGGCAGAGCTGGGGTGGTACCTGGCATCACTGCCTAGCTGTGAGACTATGGGCAAGTTACAGCATGCCTCTGGGCCCCTGTCACACGGTATATGAAATAGGGGTAATGCCACAGGTGGTTGGTGCCCAGCATAACTGCACTAGGTCCTAGTGTTGAGATGTTGACCAAGCAGGTCTGTTGAGTAATGAAAGGGGTAAGGTCTGACCAGACAGAGAGGCTCAGGAGCACCTGGACTGTTCGCTAACACCTAACCACACCCATTAGCTCATGTAATGATCTAACAGCCTCAGGAGATGGCAATGACTGCAGCTGGTGTTTCAGAGCAGCTCAGAGATTGATACACAGCCATGATCACACAGCTAGGTGGCCAAAGAGCCAGGCATCCTGCCCAGCACTCAGCAGGTTCATGCGGTCTGCACAGTAGTGCAGGAAAGTCAAGACTACCAGACAGGAGGCTGACCAGAAAAATTTTACACCAGGTTTCTGTGGGAGTGAGGCTGGTAGAGCTGAGCGCTCACTCTGCCTTTCTCTGTTCTCAGGACAGACCTGGTCACAGCAGGTAGTGACCCCACAATCACTGTGGAATAGCACAGCAGAAATTGAGATGGTGATATGGGCAGGGTGAAGGCCAGAAGGTTCTGAGGGAGAGCAGACAGGCCTGTGGTGTTTTACTTCACCTCTCTGAAGCTGTCTTCCTGACTAAATGGAGGGGTGTGGGGGCATTGTATAAGGGTCTTACTAGGAAGGAGTTTTGAGGATGGTGCTATGCCAGGTAGGTCAGAAGGTATAGGCAGCCACTGAACAGGATCAGCTCTGAGGTCTCCTTGGCTAAAGATTATATTGTGAGGGACTTTCTGGGATTCCAGGCCTCTGGAGTTTATAGGAACTCAGAGGAGTTGGGAGTCAGTCTCCAAAAAATCTCAAGCTTCTACCTACCCTGGGGGTCCCCAACCTATTCTGTCTTCCCTGGCCGGATCTTCCTACAAAGGGTTAACAGTCTTCTCTACCTGCAGTTGCATTTTAAAGACATGAAATTAAAGCAGGTAATTTATTCTCCCCACACACGAAAGAGCAATTAGTTCTAAACAGGGCTTAATCAGTCACCGCGAGATTGATTTCTGGAGCCCTGGGTTTTCGGGCTCCTGGCGCCATGCCAGGCTGGGGAGGGAGGGGGCGGACAAATGAGCCGCGGCGGCATGAGCCCTTACATAATCTGCTGGGGGGCCTTGGCAAGGCTGGCCAGCCCCTCCAGAGGTTTGGCTGAGTTTGGGAGATGGGGTCCTGTTCTCCTGCTGAGGGTGGCACAGGCTCAGAATAGACCTCAAGGTGGGCCTTGTTCCCTAAGCCCCAGTTCCACCCTCTGGCAGTGTCTGCGTGGGGGAATGGGCAGGGCAGGGAGCGGGCACGTTTGGGGTAAAGGATGGATGTTCTGGGTTTGTCCAACCTGGTACTTACACCTGCACTCCCTCTTCTTCCACCCCCTTCCCCCATCGACCCTTCTCTCTTCCCCCCTCCCCTGTACTCACCGCTCTTACCCACTCACTTTTCTGTCTCCCCATTTTCTCATCATTTTCCTCTCCCCTTGGCTTCCTCACTTTCCACTTCCCCCACCCATGTCCTTGTCTCCGGCCACAGAATTCCATCCGGCACAACCTGTCGCTGCACACCCGTTTCATCCGCGTGCAGAACGAGGGCACTGGCAAGAGTTCGTGGTGGATGCTGAACCCCGAGGGTGGAAAGACAGGCAAGACCCCGCGGCGCCGGGCCGTGTCCATGGACAACGGGGCCAAGTTCCTGCGCATCAAGGGCAAGGCGAACAAGAAGAAGCAGCTACATGTACCCGAGCGGAGCCCAGACCATAGCCCTCCGGGTGCGCCTGCTCCAGGGCCCCTGCCTGCCTCGGCCAAGTGGGCCACCAGCCCGGCCTCGCATGCCAGCGATGACTACGAGGCGTGGGCCGACTTCCGAGGCAGTGGGCGACCCCTGCTTGGGGAGGCGGCCGAGCTGGAGGACGACGAGGCCCTGGAGGCGCTGGCACCATCATCGCCACTCATGTACCCGAGCCCTGCGAGCGCACTGTCGCCGGCCCTGGCCACTCGCTGCCCGGGTGAGCTGCCGCGCCTGGCAGAGCTGGGTGGCCCTCTGAGCCTGCACGGTGGTGGCGTAGCCGGGTTGCCCGACGCCCTGCTGGACAGCGCCCAGGACGCGTACGGGCCGCGGGCACGCGCCGGGACCCCTGCCTACTTTGGCGGCTGCAAGGCGGGCGCCTACGGCGGGGGCGGGGGCGGGGGCTTCGGGCCTCCGGCGCTGGGCGCGCTGCGCCGCCTGCCCATGCAGACCATCCAGGAGAACAAGCAGGCGAGCTTCGCGCCCACCGCGTCCTTCCGCCCCGGGGCCCTGCCCGCGCTGCTGCCGCCGCCGCCACCCGCACCTAGGCCCGGCCCGCTGCTGGGCGCGCCGGGAGAGATGGCGCTGGCGGGCGCGGTGGCCGCTTACCCCGGCAAGGGAGCGGCCCCATACGCGCCGCCCGCGCCCTCGCGCAGTGCCTTAGCCCACCCGATCAGCCTTATGACGCTACCCGGCGAGGCGGGTGCCTCGGGCCTGGCCCCGCCAGCCCACGCCGCAGCCTTCGGGGCCCCGCCCGGCAGCCTCCTGCTAGACACGCTGCCCGGGCCCTACGTGGCCTCGGCTGCCGGGCCACTGGGTGCCGCGCCTGACCGCTTCCCGGCCGACCTGGACCTCGATATGTTCAGCGGGAGCCTTGAGTGTGATGTCGAGTCCATCATCCTCAACGACTTCATGGACAGCGACGAAATGGACTTCAACTTTGACTCAGCCCTGCCTCCGCCGCCCCCGGGATTGGCCGGGGCGCCGCCCCCTAACCAGAGCTGGGTGCCGGGCTGAAGGCCTCCCCCCGCGGCCCAGGTGCCCCGGTCCCGTCCCCAAGGGGCCTCTGTCTTCCCATCCTGATCCCCGGGTCCCCACCCCGATCCAGCTCCAAGGGAGGATCCTGGAGGCAGCCCTAGCCTAGCTAGAGACATCCCTCAGAGTTGACCACAGAGGGAGGTGGGAGGGAGCGGCAGGGACATCTTGCCATTCCTGCCCGAACTTCTAAGACCTGCCCCCTCCTGCTGGGGCTGGAAGCCTGGGAGAGGAGCTTGAAATCCATCCAGCTGGGTGGGAGTGGGGAGGAGCGAGTTGGGTCGCCTGCTGTGGATGCTGACCGGAAGCCACCTAGGAGATAGGGCGGGGGCATTTCAGAATCTTCAGTTTCACTTGGGGTGGTATGACGCTTCGCCCACCCATCTCCAATCTGATCCTCAAATGACACTTTATCTCTGGTGTTAGTCCCATCATACAAAGCCAGCAACTCTTTCCGGAATACTCTCACACCTATCTATTGGCCATCATCCTACTCAGCCCCCTTCTAGTCTTCAGCCACCCCTCCGGTGACACCCCTCATCCCCAGGTTCAGTTTCCCATCCCAGCGGGTCCTGGAGTCTCCTCTCTCCTGTCAGTCAACCCCACACTCTTGCGGTACTGGTCACAGCCTCTCCAGCGGGCCTCACCTCCAGATCCAACCCCAATCCGACACCCCTTTCTCCGTGCCAGTCCTGGCCCTTCTCTCCCATATTTATAAGTGTCTGGTCGGGGCGGGCGGTGGGCGCGGCGTCCCCGGCGCGTATCGTAGGCAGTGTACCGTGGCCGTGCCGTCAGCGTGTGCGTGTGCGTGTGTGCCGTGTCGAGGCCGTGTAGAGTGCGTTGTACAGCATATTTTCATGAATAAAATTGTTTTAAATATTTCCCGTGCCTTGGGTTAGCAGAAGGGGGCGGTGGCAATGGAGGATAATTGTGGGATTGTGTGGGGGATGGCAAGGAGCCTGGGTTCTTCTGCCTGGGGCTATTGTGGCTTTTTATCTGGGTGCTGGTCTGCTCGGCCACACATTGATTAAGCGCCTACTGAATTCTTGATGCTGGAGATGTTCTTTGTGGAGCTCTGCACCTGTTTTTGTGAACACATGCAAGCAGAAAGTTTTTGCCCAGGATTAAGCCTCAGGGATTGAGAGGGGCACAGGTGTCTAAAGAATCACTGTCAGGTCTTGTATTGGCATGAATTTTGTTCCCATTGTGCAGATGAGAATACAAAATAAGAGAATGACAGTACTTTGGGAAGCCAGGGGGTAAGTAAAAAGCCTTCGAGGGTGCAGACTTCTATAGGAATCCATTTCCTGCCTTTACCAGCTGTGTCACCCTGGGCACTGTGTTGTCAGTTTTCTCCTTGCTGTGACAATATACCTGACAAAAGATAGAGAAGCAAGGAAAGAAGGGATAGGGGTAGATTTGTCTTGGCTCACAGTTCAAGGGTGCAGTCCATCATGGCAGGGAAGCATGGTGATAGGAACCTGAGACAGCTGGGCTCATTGCATCAATAGTCAGGAAGCTGAGAGAGAAGAATCATGGTACTCAATTTAGCTTTTCTCCTTCCGCCATGTAGGTCGTGGGACTCTAACTCAAGTCATCAGACTTGTGTGGTAACAAGTCCCTTTTATTACTGAACCATCTCACCAGCTCCCTCCTTTTTATTCAATCTGGGACCCCAGGCTATGAGGGGAGTAGGTCTTCTCTCCTAGGTTAAACATCCCTGGAAACACCCTCAAAGACAACCCTAGAGATGTGTTTCCATGGTGATTTTATTTTATTTTTGTTGTTTGTTTTTGTTTTTGAGACAGAGTCTCCCTGTAGCCCCAGCCAGCCTGGAACTCACTATGTAGACCAGGCTATTCTCAATCTTATAAAGATCCACCTGCCTCTGCCTCCTGAGGGCTGGGATTAAAGGCATGCAGCACCACGCCCTGCTCCATGGGGACTTTAATTCGGTCAAGCTGACAATGAAGTTGGACCATCCCAGGCACATTTCACCTTTGTAGCTTTATTTTCTTGGTCTGTACCATAGTGTATAGCTCCCAGCTCAGGTAAATAAGAAAAGATGTGAAATACTCAGGCAGGTCCTGCTCTAGTCCATTCCTTCAAGAAAGATTAAGTGAGCTCCCATTCAGAGCCAGCTCTCATACCAAGAGAGCAGCATAGGCACTGTCTGCCCCAGGGGGCACTTAGAGGTGCTTCGGTGTTGGGGTGTGTAAAATGACAAATATGGATTGGAGCTGCAATGAATGGGGGAGCTAAGGGGGCTGATGTGGGGTGCTGTTACCATTGGGCCTTGAAGGATGAGTTGGCATTGGGAGGGGAAGAGAGAGAGAAGAAGTGGTGTACCCAAAGGCCCAGAGTCAAGAAATCTTGTGGGTTCCAGAACTGGAAGCAGTTGAGTGGTGCTGAAGCGCTGAGATGGAAAGGCTGCTGGTGGCAGACACCAGCCGGCAGTGGTGGGAAAGAGCCAGGGCAGGACCATAGTTGCTGATGGTGGTGGCACTCAGAGCACAGCGGGGGTCATTGGGGCTGAGAGGTTCATGCATATTTTTTCACGTGGAGTACCATGTGACTTGGTTGTAGAGTAGGTGTAAGAGTGAGAGTATGGCTCAGTGGTGGTTGGGTACCTGGAAAGCCAGGGTTGTTCTCTGTGATGGGGAGTGTGGGGGCAGGAGAAGCCCTGGGGAAATGACTTCATTTGAGTTCCATCCTGTGGGAATCTGGGATTTGGGAGGGAGGAAGGAGGTTCAGGAGCACTTCTGCCACATGAATGGCATTCTCAGACTTTGGACATCATGGGAGCCTGGAGCTATCCCCTTGGATAGCAGAGGAGTCAGAGTCCAGGAAGGCATTTGAACTGGACAGGGAGATCAAGAGACTCCAGAGCAAAGGGGCTGTTATGGAGGTTGAGAAGGGGGAATCACATTGTGGAATGAAATGAGCAAGGAATCTCTGTTGTCTCACTCTGCTCTGGTGCACTAAGGTGCACCTCATTGGCACCAGAAGAGGAGACCACCGTTTGAGGAGAAAGCAATAGAACTGGGAGAGGAAGGCCAGGATACAGAGATCTGGCTTGTGAAAGACAGCCAGGTCCTAGAAATGGTGCCCAATGCTATTGTCTCCAGGAGCCTTACTTCTTGGCCTGACAGGATGGGCAGTAGTACATATCTTGTGGATTTGTTTGAAGGGCAAATAAGACTGGCATTATTGAGGTCACACTACCAGCAGGGGGAGAGTCAGGGCCCCTGCCCTGATTGCATGCCTCTGATGCCCAGGCTCTTCTGTTATGACCCTGCTTTAATGATGTGGTTCTGGGCCAGCAGGATCTATGTAGGTTCAGGTTCAGAGTTAGGAAGCTGAGACTTAAGTGGTATGGTGTGCTGCCGTTGCCCACTGGGGAGCACATAGAGACCAGAGGGCCTCCACTGGGGCAATGCCCCAGCCCCACCCAATGGCCAGACTCAGACAGGACCCAGCTGGGTCTGTGCTCCAGATGGGCTGCAAAGCTGCCTCCACTGTAGGTTGCTGGAGGGTGGGCTGCTGCATGTGCAGGCCTGTGTGTGTCCATGCAGCTCCATATGCATCTGTGTGTGTGTGTGTGTGTGTGTATTAGGTGTTAGTGAATGTGCTGAAGGTTAATTGACATCTCCCTGTTGAGTGTGCACACCATTTAGTATGTTTAGGGGTGTGTGTGTGTGTGTGTGTGTGTGTGTGTGTATGTGTGAATGACAGTGTGAGTGTGCCCACATGTATATGGAGGCCATGGCTGTGTGAATTGCTTTCCCAGCCTCCACATGTGTACCACATGCCTTGCTCTCTGGGTGTGCCTGCCTAAATTGGCACCTCCCTCTCTCTCTCAAGAGCACCAGGATGGTGTTCCCCTGCCAGGAACATCTTCTGGGCTGCTCTGCCATCTGTGGGAGTGGAGCAGGGCAGAGGGACACTCCAGCCTCTGGGATCCAGCCCAGCTCATGAGCAGGGAGCCAGGAGACCACCTCGAAGTCGAAGTGATGACTGAGCTCTGCCCAACTTGGGCTGATGACAATACCAGAGACAGCTTCTGTCCTCCTGGGCCCCATCAAGAGAGGGAGCAACACCCCTACAGCTGGGGGTCTGCCACTGGCCCTCCTTGACAGACACAGCCTTGGAGCCCAGCAGACGCGCCCCCCCCTCCATGCCCACTCCCTGGGAGGCGTCTGACACATGATTTATTCATAAAAAGCCATTATTTGTGCCAAAGAACTGAGCTGCTCGCTTTTTAAGTGCTGATAATGCTCTCAGCCTCCCTGCCTCCCTCCCCTCCCCTCACCTCCTTCAGACTTCCTATCCTCTCTCCTCCTCCCCTTCCTTTCTAATCCCTCCTTCCTCTCTCTTCTTACCTCCCTCCATTCTCCTTCCCTCTGGCCCCACTCAGCTCCAGGCTGCTGTTTCTACACTCTAGGAAGTAGGAGGGGGGCATCCTCCATCTGCACTTGTCTCTCTTCAGGACCATGGGAAAGTTGGGAGGAGTGGAGACAGGCTGAGAAATGTGGGGGGGTCACTGGAGGTCGTCCTGACTAGCTCCCTCTGAGCTAAAGGATGTGACTTTGGTTTGCTAGTATTAGCATAGGTCTCCTGGAATCCCAAATAAATATTCTAAGTACATAAGTAAAAGCAGTGCACTTGCTATGCAAATGCAGATTGAAAGCAAGCCCCCCAGGACTCCTTTCCTGGCCAAGAAGGCCCCCAAGCTCCCCTGTATAAACATTCTGGACAGCATCATTTAGGTGGTGCCAAGAGAGTCTGGCATTGAGAGAGGCACCTGGGTCCCACCACAGAGACAGGAGGCAGCAGAATATGCACCCAGACGGCATCCTGGACATGGCCACACACAGGGTTCTTAGAAGCAGACATCCCAGATCCACATGTGTGTGCCCTCATCTCACACACACACACACACACACACGCATGTACTCAGCCATCCACTTCCCCCGCAGATGGAGAACACTTTTTCCCTTCCAGAGCATTCCTCTGAGCACCTGTGGTGGGGGCTGCAGCTTTTCCCCATCCAGACACCTGTTCATTCATTCATGCATTCATTCATTCACTTCATAAACCTTGCTTTCAAGACTCCTGTCTGTGTCAGACCTTGTGCTGGACACTGGGGTGACAGAATGCACATGATTGGTACTAGGGAAGGGAACTGAACAGAAGGGGTCCTGCTGGCCCTCTCCTGCAATCTTGAACTGGGGGCTGGTGGCCCAGCAGGCGAGGGGTTAAGTCATTTGGCATCCAGAGCCGGAGCCATTAGGCCTCCTAATTATGAAATTATCGAGGTCCTCAGGTGACTGCTAATTTCACACACACTGTTCCTCTCACGGCTAATGAACGCCCGCAGAACCCACGCCTTGTCTTTCCTGCTGAACGGTGACCTGCAGTTAATGAGCTCGGGAAGGCAGACAGGCCACCGGCTGGGTGGGTGGGGCGACAGGCCTGAGGAGGGGGCTGCTAGCCCTCAAGGCTCCTCCCCCCACCCCTTGCTGACTGCCAGCCCCAGTGAAGGTTTCAGGGCCCAAGCTCAGCACAGGGGTCTTTCAGGCCTGGATGTTGGGAGCAGGAGAGGAATCAAGATTCAGGGAGGGGTTGGCTCATACGATGCCAGAATGAGTCTGGAGCCAGGTGAGGCAAGGGGACTGAAGCGAAATATTCATAGTGGAAGACCATTTCTGCCGCATTCTAGGGCTTCTCAGAGACACTTAGGGATAGTGTTTGGTGGGTGCGGGGTGCAGGTGATGACTTTGGGGTTGGTTGTGTTAATGAAAGGAAAGTCACCTGGTAGGGTGACAGTGCTGTTGAGACTGGGTGTGACTTTTTTTTTAGTATTTTTTTATTATTTTTA